ATTCAGCATATCAAAGAACCTCATATATTCAATTTTTGTTGAAATCAAACAAAGTTTAATTTTGGACCCCAATTTGGACCAACTTGAAAACTGGGCCCATAATCAAAAATCTAAATACATGGTTAGATTCAGCATATCAAAGAACCTCATATATTCAATTTTTGTTGAAATCAAACAAAGTTTAATTTTGGACCCCAATTTGGACCAACTTGAAAACTGGGCCCATAATCAAAAATCTAAACACATGTTTAGATTCAGCATATCAAAGAACCCCAAGAATTCAATTTTTGTTAAAATCAAACTAAGTTTAATTTTGGACCCTTTGGACCTTAATGTAGACAAATTTAAAAAAACAGGACCAAAAATTAAAAATATAAATACACGGTTAGATTTGGAATATCAAAGAACCCCAATACTTCAATTTAAGATGAAATCAAACAAAGTTTAGTTTTGGACCCTTTTGACCTCAATATGAACCAATTTGATAACGGGGTCCACAAATAAAAAATCCAAATACATGGTTAGATTCAGCATATCAAAGAACCCCACATATTCAATTTTTGTTGAAATCAAACAAAGTTTAATTTTGGACCCCAATTTGGACCAACTTGAAAACTGGGCCAAAAAATCAAAAATCTAAATACATGTTTAGATTCAGCATATCAAAGAACCTCATATATTCAATTTTTGCTAAAATCAAACAAAGTTTAATTTTGGACCCTTTGGACCTTAATGTAGACCAATTTGAAAACTGGACCCAAAATTAAAAATTTAAATACACTGTTAGATTCGGCATAACAAATAAATAAATGTGATCAAAGATTTTACAAATCTAATGCGCCATACTGTGCAATTAAAGATTACTTCTTGAAATTTTTCAATATTTGAAATTTGAAAAAAAAATAATATTTGAAGAATAATTCTTTTTAATTTCTGAAATCTGAAATGAGAAAAAATTGACCCCCCACAATTTCTTTTTATCCCCCCCCTTTTTTCCCCAAAAAAATTCTTTCCCTCAAGATATGGTCATAATCTCAATTCAAATTTCCAATGGAGTTGGCAACCATAATTACCCATTTAAATTTACCATAGTGCTAACTTAATCTATTTTATAATAGAATTAAAAATATACTGTCAAATCTTTCATATGGATTTTTTTGTAAAAAAAAAAGATGCAACATTTGCAGATATTTTTACTGGTCTTCCTTTATAGATATGCATTTCTTTAAACATAATTTAAAAGCAGTGTAAGGGAAGTAACCAAAACGTTGTATTTTGATTACCTCCCTTACACTGTTTTAAATTATCTTTATTGTTCATTAACCATTACTTTATACATAATTTAAAAGCAGTGTAAGGGAGATAATCTCAATGATGTATTTGATTTATCTCCCTTACACTGCTTTAAATTATGTTTTGTACAAAAGTATTTGTCCATTAACCAGGACAACCTTGTTTTTCCCCCTTTTTTGCCCCTAATTCCTAAACGGTTTGAGCCATAACCCCCCAAAGCAAATCCTAACCATCCCTTTGTGGAATGGAAACTTATAGTATAATTTCAGAGAGATCCATACACCGTTCCACAGTTATTGTCTGGAAACTAGAAAATGCTTATTTTTGGCCCCTTTTTGGCCCCTAATTCCTTAACTGTTGGTACCATAACCCCCAAAATCAATCCCAACCTTCCTTTTGTGGTATTTAACCTTATGGTCAAATTTCAAAAAGATCCATTCACTTAAACTAAAGTTAGAGTGCGAAAACCAGTATGTATTCGGACGACGACGCCGGACGACGACGACGACGCCGGACGACGACGACGCCAACGTCATACCAATATACGACCACAAAATTTTTTTGCGGTCGTATAAAAAAACCTGTGTGACTGACAAATAGATCATAAAATATTTCCATACACCAAATATAGTTGAACTATTGCATATAGTATTAGAAAAAAAGACCAAAACTCAAAAACTTAACTTTGACCACTGAACCATGAAAATGAGGTCAAGGTCAGATGACACCTGCCAGCTAGACATGTACACCTTACAATCATTCCATACACCAAATATAGTAGACATATTGCATACAGTATAAGAAAAACAGACTAAAACACAAAAACTTAACTATAACCACTGAACCATGAAAATGAGGTCAAGGTCAGATGACACCTGCCAGTTGGACATGTACACCTTCAGTCCTTCCATACACCGAATATACTAGACCTATTGCTTATAGTATCTGAGATATGGACTTGACCACCAAAACTTAACCTTGTTCACTGATCCATGAAATGAGGTCGAGGTCAAGTGAAAACTGTCTGACGGCCATGAGGACCTTGCAAGGTACGCACATACCAAATATAGTTATCCTATTACTTATAATAAGAGAGAATTTAACATTACAAAAAATCTTAACTTTTTTTTCAAGTAGTCACTGAACCATGAAAATGAGGTCAAGGACATTGGACATGTGACTGACGGAAACTTCGTAACATGAGGCATCCATATACAAAGTATGAAGCATCCAGACCTTCCACCTTCTAAAATATAAAGCTTTTAAGAAGTTAGCTAACGCCGCCGCCGCCGCCGCCGTAGCCGCCGCCGGAGGATCACTATCCCTATGTCGAGCTTTCTGCGACAATCAAAATCCTAAAATATGCACACCTTTAGTATATCATGTATATGTACTATCGTCCTACATGATATACAAGTTCTAGCTTGAGAACTGTTGATGGAGTTACATGTAGCTGGACATGTATATGTACTATCGTCCTACATGATATACAAGTTCTAGCTTGAGAACTGTTGGAGTTACATGTAGCTGGACATGTATATGTACTATCGTCCTACATGATATACAAGTTCTAGCTTGAGAACTGTTGATGGAGTTACATGTAGCTGGACATGTATATGTACTATCGTTCTACATGATATACAAGTTCTAGCTTGAGAACTGTTGATGGAGTTACATGTAGCTGGACAAACCATGTGCACTGCATGACTTATATTACAATAAAATGATAAAGTTCAACAACCTGACATTTGTTGAAAATTTAAAGAAAATCAAAATCATGACAATTTGCACACCTTTAGCATGTTTAGTATGTAGTACATAGTATAAAAGTGTTTGCTTGAAAACTGGAGTTAGCCTGACCCTATGTTGGACAGATGGACATACAGGGGTAATATAATATGCTCCCATAAATTTTGTAGCAGAGTGATTTGATGCCATGCAAACTGTTGTCACTGGCGTAATCCATATTCATTTACCTGTTTTTCTAGAGAACATTTTCAACAATACAGTAATACCTGTACAATTTTATTTTATAAGCCATTCAGAATCATTGAGAAAATTATAAGGGAAAAAGGCAAATTAAGATCATTTAGGAATAAGGAATGTGTAGGAGTTGTAATGTTAGGGTTGTAGTAGTGAAATAGTTACCACAGCAACCAAATGGAAAAAAAAGCATTGCTATTCTTTCTTTGTGAGTATTTCACCAAATTAAAACAAAGCAAACAAATAAAATGAAATTTTACAACTATCAATGTATCATCATTCAATTTTCTATAAAAACCTCAGCATAGATGCAGATACAGATAATCTTATTTACCAATCAAGGTGCCCTCTGAAGGGCAGATTTATAACATAATAAACAGATAATCTTATTTACCAATCAAGGTGACCTCTGAAGGGCAGATTTATAACATAATAAACAGATAATCTTATTTACCAGTCAAGGTGCCCTCTGAAGGGCAGATTTATAACATAATAAACAAACTAAACAATAAAATAATAAGACAATAATACTTCATTATAGTAATAATTATGATGATTGTATAAACTAGAGGCTCTAAAAAGCCTGTGTCGCTCACATTGGTCAAGTGCATATTCAACAAAGGACACTCTCCAACACTGTTGATGAGAATAGAATTCATGACAAAAATACCTGTTTTGTTGATCTTGTATTGCTGATCATTTATTCTGTTTAATCTCTCTATCTTCTTTAGTTTTTGCTCAAAACACAAAAGAGGGTAAAAAAATCATTTAAGGGCAATCAGGCCTATAAAGAGTGACAGTCTACTTAATACTATATCAGCAAACTTTGACTTGTTAATAGATCTTGACATGCTGATCATTTTTGTGATTTAAAGTGTTGATTTATTTAATCATAATTTTCAAGATAGTATGCAAAAATGAAAAAAATGGTAAAATTTGTCATTTAAGGGCAATAACTCCTAGAAGAAGTCGTCCAACTGTTTTAACATATATAGACAATTGGTAGAGCTCAACATTCTGAACATTTTTGCACTTGTCAGGATTTTTCTATTTATTATGGTTTTCAAAATTATAGACAAAACTTGTATTTCTATTTATAGCTATGTTGGCCATCTTGGTTGGCAGGCATGGTCATCGAAAACATTTTTTAAACTAGATACCCCAATGATGATTGTGGCCAAGTTTGGTTAAATTTGGCCCAGTAGTTTTAGAGGAGAAGATTTTTGTAAAAGTAAACAGACGATGACGGACGCCAAGTGGTGAGAAAAGCTCACTTGGCCCTGTGGGCCATGTGAGCTAAAAATAAACTTATCTTAAACTTAAAATAGAAAGGTCAACATTATTGTATTTTTTTTTATATTGAGGATATCCAGCTAGATTTGGATAAAGAGAGACAACTCCATCATTCTCATACAGAATGTATTTCAGATGCATGTGGGTTTGATTTAGTACTGAATCCCTATTTTCTACTAGTTCAATTATCAGATTTAATATAAGTTTTTAACATAGTTATCCTCATTAGTCATTAATCATACAAATTTACTCTCTGAAGTAAGCTTGACAATTTTTTTATATAATTCAGATAAAAAAAAAATCATGCAATGTTGGTTTTATGGCAAACCATGAAACCTACACCAAACAAATTTCTTGTGGGTATATATCACCCTGTTTGCAGAGTTAAAAATCTGACATATAAATTGTTTCATTGATGTCAAATGACTTACATTTGCTGCTGACTACAAATTTGTTGTCTGTTGACCCTGAACAGTTGACCGTCTGCTGTTAAACAATACAATATCCAGTCTGCTAATGTATCATTTGTTACACTGTAATCTTTAATATAACCACAAGCCCTTATGATGGCCTAAAAGTAAAAAAACAGTTCATTAGGTTTAAATCATATACTGCCTTCAGTAAAATACATGTATGTCCAGTTAAAACATCAAGTCAGTATGGGGACATTAAACCTGATGCCTTGTGCGGGGACAAAGCCATGTGACGTTCTCTATAAATTAAAGATCTCTTGCAACAAATATCCTAGGGATCCATAGGTGGCCTGTTGTCAGGCAAAATTTCTCACCCTTCATCCTAGTAGGCCTAACTTGCCAAGCCTATCTATTGTATCAATTGTAAATTTGTTATCGTCCTGAATATGCATGAAATATTTTCCACTGAACATTAATAAGCAACCATCAATCAATCAATCTAATTGAAGAATATAAAAGATACATCTTACCACTGACAGCTACTTTGGGACTAGCAGGACATTGAAAATTGGAATATGTTGTCATATTTATCTTTATTAATATAAATGTATATATTTTGAGCTGGACCTTAATCATATAGAGTCCCTCAGCCTTTAAAAAAATAATATGAACTGACCCTATATTTCCTTTTAATTTGAAATTAATGAATGAAACCATTATCAGAAATAAGCCTTATAGGTTCATGAAATGTCCTATCTATTGCAAAGATCTTATTGACCAAAGCATGTGGAGTTTCAGTCATAATGTTTGACAACTAGTATACAATATTACATATATGTTTGTATGTACATTGTAAAATAACATAGTAGCATATCCAATTTTATGTCATGTTTAAAGAAATTTGCTGCAACAAATATCTGTATCATTATATATATAAATTATAAATAAGAAGATGTGGTATGAGTGCCAATGAGACAACTCTCCATCATCTATATCATATATATTTACCAGAACAACATATACAATGATGTACATGTACAGTATCTATATTTATTTTAATGAAACTAATATTTAAAGGGGAAAGTTCATGATTTTTAACGTATAACCCAAACATTTGCCAAATAAGTTCATTATCTATTCATTGTGGGCTGTTTTCTGCTCTTTTGTATGGTTGTTGTCTCTTCGACACATTCCCCATTTCTGTTCTCAATTTTATCATTATAACATTTAATAACATACATATTTTTAGAACTTTTATCAAAGCAGACATGGCAGACTAATAGTAATAACAAATAAATATCAAATGTTATTAATTTTATCTATTGACTTTTGTCAACAGTTAGCATGGTTAGTGACTACAGCTACATGTATCATGCTATGGAATGGGATTGGAAGTACAATCATTTAAATTCTTGTTCCCTAATATTTTTTTAACATAATTAAAAGCATGCCATTGACTGTTTTAAAAAGCTGATAACCATATGCATGTATCCAAAACAAAACATGCAATCTTGTACATCCATAAATTGAAAAGTTGTTTGATTATGTATATATTTTTTCATTATTTATTTTAAAAGGAATAACTGTAATATTTTTTCTGTCTATGAAGAAATAACATCAAAAATGTGATGCACACTGAATAACCCGCGTAGTGGGTTATTTTAAAGTGTGCATCACATTTTTTATGTTATTTCGAATAGACAGATAAAATATTACAGTTATTTCTTATAATTTAACATGTTTAATTCTAAATTCCATTTTAAACCGGAGTAAACAATGAAAAATGTTGATGACGTCACAGTCACATGACTAAATTATGTCTATGAGCTGATAAACAAAACAACGTCAGCCAATCAGCAGACGCGTTACATCCAAAATTAAATTATATGTTGATAATGCTTTAACAGATTGTACATGTTGTACAATTTATTTTCTTTTTAATTTTTGTCATTTTTCTCAATGATATTTTGAACAAAATGTAACAATTCGATGCTCTATATATCATGTCTATAGACAATATGTGCTCTAGTATGTTCAGCAAACATTTAAGCACATTGACTGTCACTGTGTATATATACAATGTGTGTATTTTCTTCTTGAATGTTGTTTATACCTATGGATGGGATTGTTAAATAAAAGCATGATCAAGTAATAAACCTTATCTGGTCCGTTCGCTCCCAAAACACATTTGCACCCTACCCATTTGCACCCCAAACATTTGCCCCACCCCAAGTCCATTCACACCATATTTTTGTTCAAATACAGGTTGAATTATTAGATGTCTTTTAGAAGTATATATCAAAATGTTAATATTTTCATGAATAAAAATTCGTTAATTTTTTTAAATGAAATATTTTTTTTGTGATTAGATGATTACTTTTTAATTGGGATCTATAAGATTACTGTTAATTGGTATTTAAAAAGCTTATTTGGTGTTAAGTAAAATACAAGTAGTTAGTTTGGAAGGAATAAAAACAATGATTCTTCATGTTAAAAAACAAAACTAAAGAAAATTATTTTGAACAGCTTGTGACGAGTTTGATAGGCGTTTGGAATCTTCTACCTTTCATTTACAAGTCTTAGAGATAAATCACTTGGTCTTCAGTTGATCATCATGACAATATTCATTATTCATTTCGTCAAAATAATTCACAAAAGAAAACCCGTTTACGTTTTTAGAATGTCATTTTATTTCAAAAAATAAAAAAAAAACTTATTTTCTTTATTTTATATCAAAACACTAACTAAAGCATGATTAAAAACTTATTCAACACAAAACCTTTAAAAAGGATGTGAACGGACCATGGGTGCGAATGTGTGGGATGCAAACATGAAAGGGGACGAACGAGTATGGGAGCGAACATGATTTTGGGCGAACAAACCCAGATTTGTAATTAACAGAATGTGTTTTAGCCTCAGGGATTTTAAGGTTTATGACCCCTTCTGTAGCCATGTGAATTACGAAATTTTCAAACTGCAATAGCATCAAAACACCAAAGTTAATGAATAATAGAGATGGTCCATTTTGTACATTTACCAAAGGGAAACTTCGTGCAAAGCATTATATATTATTTATTGTTTTATTGCATTTGATAAAAAATTGGGATTTTGTGGCAAATAAAACCAAGATTTTTGTAGAAAATCCACAGACTTTAATAAAGAGAGCTTCGTTATAAAATTTCAAACATAGTTTACTCACTTGTTTGTCCATGATGTGCTAGCGTTCATTGTGTACAAAAAGTCCTAAACAACCTTTACATTCAAAATCAAAGCACTGTAAGCGCTATAGGCAGTTAACCAAAAACCAAGGCAAACGTACATTTGTAATTATGAAAACTATGGCAGTGTTGCTTCATTTTTTTTTTAAAGATTTGAAAGAACAAACATTAAACATTCATATATTGTACATGTATGTTTATTTAATGAATTATTAAGGCAAATTAATTAATATCTTATCAAGGTTTTCAAAAGCAATGCATATATCAATGTATATTTTTAATGATGAGTTTGCAGTAGTACAAGTTCGCAATGATTGCAGTTGTTCTAGTTGGTAGTTCACGTTGGTACCAGTTGACTTTTAGTGGTACAAGTTGACGTAGTACAAGTTTGTAATAGTATGAATGGACTTGCTTCCCTGGCAGGAACACTGCATTTGGGTTCTACAGTACAAAAGTTATGAGACACAAATCAGCGAAAAGTTTACTACTACAGGGATCAAAGGTGAGGTCTGATTGACCTGCCCATAGTAAATGTAAATGACTCTTACCTTCACCAAGTCCATGATGTCACTCCATCCCAAGTTTGGAGTAAAATGACAGGTGATTATAAAACAGTTGGTCAAACATTCTTGGGCTTTACACTGCTTGAAAGATTTATATGTTTTCTTTAAAATGAGCCATAAATGAAAATTTTTATAGGCCCAGAAATAATTCAAAAAATAAGTAAAGAAAATTCAATTAACCTAGACTTATTTTTGCATCAATTAAATTTTATAACAAACAAGAAATAATTGTAACAGGATGCTGTTACGAAGTCTTCCAAACAGAGCTCCCATAATTCGTCATTCCCATGGTCGCCTGACATTGGGCAAAGTCTAGTACAAATTGGTTAGGTCTAGTAAAGTGATATGCATATGTGACCCCTAGGAGATTGACCCTGTATGTCATTTAAATCTCCTTGAAATGACGAACAGGAATAAATATGGTTTAGGGTTGGGTATCTCACCGTTTACAAGTTCTCAAAAAGGGGGGGGGGAGTGATCCCCAGGGGACTTACCCTTTATTCCTTTATTTCATTTGATTTAGTTTATTGTCCCATACAAGAATATATATGGTTTTGGGGTGGGGATCTCAACCATTTACAAGTTTTCAAAAATAAGGGGGGTGGGGGTGACCCCCGTGGACTCCCCCTATATTTCATTTGATTTGTTTTATTGTCCCATAAATGAATATATATGGTTTAGGGGTGGGGATCTCGACCGTTTACAAGTTTTCAAAAATAAGGGGGGTGGGTAGACCCCAGGGACTCCCCCAGGGATTGAAGTTAAAATTTTGGCATGGTAGCCCACAGCTTTAATTTTGTAGCCACATATATAGTCCTATACAAGAAAAGCAGAAATTTAAGTAGCCTACACCAAATTTTAGGAGTGGGGATTTCGACCGTTTACAAGTTTTCAAAAAGAAGGGGGTGGGGGTGACCCCTGTGGACTCCCCTATCTTTCATTTGATTTGTTTTACTGTTCCATACAAGAATATATATGCAGGAGGGGTGGGGATCTCGACTGTTTACAAGTTCTCAAACAGAAGGGGATGGGGTGACGCTGGGGATTCCCCCAAATTTTCATTTGATTTGTTTTATTATCCCATACAAGTATATATATGGTTTAGGGGTGGGGATCGCGACCGTTTACAAGATAAAAGCACATTTTCAAATTGAAGGGGGTAGGATGACCTCCCAGGGACTCACCCTATATTTTATTTGATTTGTTCTATTGTCCTGTTATTATTACTGAAGACCGTGTGTGTCTATCACTTACTGTTTTCAAGTAATAGTCATTTGAAAATTGAAAAAAAAAATAAAATCCCATAGGGTTCTATAGTAAACCCCTCCCTTCTTTAGGCCCCTCAAAATACCCCTAAATAGACCCCAAGGCAC